TTTAGGGTTTAGGGTTTAGGGTTTAGGGTTCAGGGTTCAGGGTTTAGGGTTTAGGGTTTTGGTTTAGGGTTTAGGGTTTAGGGATATGGAAATTCAGGCTGAAGGAGCACTGTCACCCGAAACTCAAGGTGGCATGTATGCTGTGGCTTATACTTAGACTTAAGCTATACGTACCTTGCTTGACACTACTGTTGATGATATAAATCCTGCATTACCTTGAGGACCCTCCACCATGGGAATCATGGTATATCCCCGTTTAGGGTTTAGGGTTTGGGTTTTAGGGTTTAGGGTTTTAGGGTTTAGGGTTTTAGGGTTTAGGGTTGAGGGTTTAGGGTTTCGGGTTTAGGGTATGTGTCATGCAGGATTTCTATCATCAACCGTATGAGTGCCCTACTAAACCCTACTCCCGAAACCCCAAACTCCATACCGTGGCGACTCCACTTAAAACCCGAAACCCTCTCCATGAAGGGGCCTGGAGAATTGGGCTACTGCAGGGGCCTTAATAATTAGAATAGGGTTTTGGGGTTCCTTTAAAGAGTTCCTTAAAGGGCTCTCTAAGGGTTACTATAAGGGTATAATGTAGGGGCCTTTATAGTTAGAACAGGGTTTTGGGCTCCTCTATACTTTAATTCTGATAAGGAACCCCCCAACAAAAGTATATGTACTTATTTAAGCCCCTATATTACCTGAACAGGTTTGGGGTGGATAGTAAGACTAGGTCCTAAACCCTGATCCATACACCCTAAACCCTAAACCCTAAACTCTAAACCTTAAACCCTAAACCCTAAACCCTAAAACCCTAAACCCTAGGTGGTCATCCCTAAACCCTCAGCCCTCAGCAACAGCAGGTAGGACCTTGGAAGAACCCAAAGACTCTGACATCCTTGGGCTAAGAGCCCCTTTGCTGAGCCATACCATAGTTGAAAATACTATAATCTTGTACAACCCCCCTTCTATATATATATATATATACACAGCAGTCTCATTTTCGTATCAACCCCTTCAGAAACCCCATACAAACCTAATGAAAACAAGAAGTGAATGGTACGGCTCTTCTGGAAAGATTCTACACGCCAGCGGGATCTGACCCCGAAAAGGAACCCCAAAACCCAAACCCTAAACCCCCTAAACCCCAAACCCCTAAACCCCTAAACCCTAAACCCTAAACCCTAAGCCCACGTTTGTGAGCCTTAACGGCACCCCAAAGATAAACCTGGAAGCCTTGTAGAACCCCTGAGCCTCAGAGGACTTCAAAGCAACCCTCCTTGAAAAGGTAAGTGTGGTACTTTAGGGTTTAGGGTTTAGGGTTTAGGGTTTAGGGTTTAGGGTTTAGGGTTTAGGGTTTAGGGTTTAGGGTTTAGGGTTTAGGGTTTAATGGACAAAATCCTGCATGACCTTAAGGACCTTAAACTATGGGAATTATGGTATATTCCTTATAATGGGTAATGCAGGATTTTGTCCATCAACCGGTAGTTATGGGTTCCTGTAAGGGTTCTATCGTTTAAGGGTGCCTTTAAGGGTTTACGGGCTCCTTTAAGGCTTTGTAAAGGGTTCCTTTAAGGGTTCTTTAGGGATTTAGGGTTTGGGGTCTACTTGGAGATATTAGGGCAGCTACAAGTGGGGTTTGAAGTAGGGCAACTATAGTTATAACCCATATTTAGGGGAGTTATAACCCCAAAACACCCTCAACCCTACTTTTAGCTACCCATTGAACCTCCAAGTAAGATCGAAAGGCCCCGGGCCAACTTTAGAAGCCCTAAACCCTAAACCGTAAACCCTAAACCCTGCAGACAAGGAGCTGCTGTTTTATCTGCAACTTCGGGATGAAAGAAGTGTTTGGGGTGGCGCCGGTCATTGCGTGAACCCCCGGCCTCAGGCAGTCGGATGGTCTTCGGGTGTAGGGTTTAGGGTTTAGGGGGGTTCAGGGGTTTGGGGTTTAGCCTTTTCGGGCGGCTGGCGCTGGCGGAATATAAGGCTATAGCAGCAGCTTCACAGGCTCATACGGCTAAGAAGTAGATCGGTGATGGCACCAAGCGTGACGATGCAAGTTGAAGTCCCGGAAAGCATTTCTGACATTTAGAGCCATAGACGAAGAAAACCTCCAAGTCAGTAAACACTCAACCGATGAATATAGGGGCCAAATAATTACCAACACTATTTTGAGGGCTCCTCATTATATTTATGGTATAACATACACCAAACCATATCTTAATCATCCAGGCCCCTATACAAAACCAGAGCCCAATCGAGGGCGCGGCTTGGAGTCAACTTTTCTGCCTCCCAGCCAAAGCAAGGCGCAGCCACCACCCAAAAAAGGCGCCGCGACGGAGGAGCACAAGGATCTTTACAGGATAAAGAGAAGCTTGCGGTTTTGATCCCTTGCCTTTGACAGACTCTACCGTCACTACCAATGGCCTATCAAGCGCCTTTGGGAAGCTTTCGTAAAAGCTGAACTTCCTGGGTCCCCAGCTCAGGGGAGACTTACCTGAGCCACAGCCTCTGCAGGTATTCCCTTGGAGCCAGAAACGCGCGAGAGCACCCTAAACCCTAAACCCTAAACCCTAAACCCTAAACCCTAAACCCCTAAACCCTAAACCCTAAACCCTGAGTTGAAGAACCCCAGGGTCTTTGTCGGGCGCCCTTCGGGTTTCCGAATCGTCTTTTCTCTCGGCGAAGACCAATACAGTAGCATCTTACTTCTAATACCGAATATATAAGAAACTCTATTTCACTCGAAAGTTCAAAAAAGTAATATAGCATACTATCGCATATTAGAATGCTCCAAAATTCGATAACATGCTATAGTATACATAGGCTCAGGGTTCAGGCCTTTAGGAGACCCCAGTGCCAAAATGAAAGAGGCCCTTATGCTCAGAATAGGGTGCTGGGTTCAGGGTTTCGGGTTTTGACATGCTGGGTTCAGGTTTTCGGGTTTTGGGTGTGAGGTTTAAGGTTTGGGGTTTCGGGTTTGGGGTCTAAGGTTTGGGGCAGTGGGCCTGTGGTATACTCGGATGATGGAACCCCAAGAAAAATCTTGGTATTTATCCAGGCCTCTAAGACTCCACACAAACTTCCAACAAAAGAAACCCTAAAACCCGAAATACCCTAAACCCCCAAACCCTGACTTTGAAAAGGAAAGAACCATATTCCTCTGCACCCTGCAGGCCTCCATGCTACTCTGAGTATGGGGGCCTTTAGGCCTCTCTGGGTTGATGAAGCCTTCAAAAAAGTCTACAAGGGCTGCTATAAGGATTTAGGGTTTAGGATTCAGGGTTTAGGGTTTAGGGAATATAGTGTTCCACAATATTCTAAGGGGGTCTTTACAAGGGTTGTATTGGGCTTTACGGGGCTCCCTGATGAGGCCTTATAGTATCTATAGGGTTTTACCCTAAACCCTAAACCCCTAAACAAGCATTCAGGGCTTCGGTTCGGAAGACCTGGCTGAAGCTGACCTCCTGCAACCCCCAAACCCTACCTGGACCCTAAAGGACTTACCTTTTTAGGGTTCCAAAGTTATGATTTCTTTACATAAGTCCTCAAATTTTCTATATAGTAGTCCTTAAAAAAGGCTTCTATATAGTAGTCCTTAAAAAAAGTAGGTCAGAGGGGGCTAAGGTAAACACCCGTCAACTCCGAAATCACAACTGCTCGAATGCTTGGGCCTCAGCTTAGTCGTGGAAAAAGCTGATTCTTAAACAAAAACTCCCGGTCGCTGTAAGGGCCTTCATCTTCGGATGTCTAGTAAGTCTAGTATAATTGCTTTGTGCTTTTAAACCCTAAACCCTAAACCCGAAAAGGGGAGGTTGAAGACTACTTGACGAAACCTTGAAGATGTAGGGTGTCGAGATGCCTTCGATTGCTGGGCTTGTGACTTGCTTGGCTCTTTGGAGGATGGGGGTTTAGGGTTTAGGGTGTAAAGAAACTTTCAGGAGGCCGAACACTTAAACCCATAGGACGTAGTACACCCGGTGATCGTTCCCGGGCCTTGGCAATGTCTTGCCCACTGGCAGTGTGGAGGAAGCGCCGAATCTAGGCAGGGACAGCGACGGGCGTTGCATCCTCATCCCCAGCAGTAGCCTAACATACAAGGTGACTCAATCCCTGAACCAAAACCCTAAACCCCTAAATCCTAAACCCGAAAATCTGAACCCTAAACCCTTGGATCCTGCACCGTGGGGCCTTTTCTTTTTGGGCGGTGCATGGTGTACTGAACCCGAAGCCCCTGTGCAATCTTCCTATCAAATGTAACCTAATCTAATCTAACCTAATCTAACCTGTCTATCTATCTAGCTTTAGGGCTTTAGGAGTTTAGGGTTTAGGGTTTAGGGATATATGTGCGTGTGTACGAATGTACTGTATAAGCAGCAAAGAGATTGCGAATTCCCAAGAAGCACTGAAGCGAATTCCCCCTGTGCTCGAAGCATGACGGCTCTATAGGGGTCAAAGTCTAAGGCTCAGGGTTCAGGGGTCTTGGGTTTAGGGTTTTGGGTTTAGGCTTAGGGGTTTAGGGTTTCGGGGTTTAGGGTTTAGGGTGTTAGGGGTTAGGGGTTGAAGGGTTTAGGGTTTAGGGTGTTAGGGGTTTAGGGGTTTAGGGTGCTAGAGTTTAGGGGTTTAGGGCTTGGGGGTCTAAGGTTTAGGAGTTTAGAGGTGGCTTCAAGGGATAGATGCACTCGAGGATCAATCCTGCCGTGCATATTCATGGTATACAGGGATGGCAGGGGGGTGATATTGACATTGCTGGTTTCACCATCCGAACCCTAAACCCTAAACCCTAAACCCTAAACCCTACCCCCCTTCCAAGACCTTGCACATCCTCCAAGCCTTCAACAACTCACGGTCTGCCGCCTCCTCAAGAAACCAAAGCCGTTGAAACCCCTGAAAACTGAACTCCTGCCTTTCTCAAGCTTCCAAACTGACAAACTTCGCTTTGACTTCGGCTTCAGTTTGGCGGTTTAGATTTGAAGGCAGCTTTGACCAACCAACGGCCCAAGCTCCCCGGCGGCAGAGGCAATGGCCAGGATGACTTCACTCACCATGTCTGCAGCCTGGGATTCGCCCGCTGAGAAAGTTGACCAAGTCTATCCGCAAGTTTCGGTGTAGCAAACAGAAAAAGCATCAGCAGCCACCATGAAGAGCAGCAGCATCAGCAAATGCAGCTGCAGCAGAAGCAAGAGCAGCAGCAGAAGTAGTACCGGCAGAAGGTTTAGTCGTGGCGGCGGCGGCCGTCGTAGTAGTAGTAGTAGTAGTAGTAGTAGCAGCAGCATCAGCAGCAGTAGCAGCAGCAGCAGTAGCAGCAGTAGTAGCAGTAGGAGCAGCAGCAGTAGCA